CTGGTAATAACAATCAGAAATCAAATTTACACTTGGTTTTCATTTATTATAGGAAGGGTTGTTGGGCTTCCTTTCATAGGGCTGGACTCAAGATCAGTCCTGGTTCTCTTACTGCCTGCTTTCCCTCTGGGAATTGTGCCTGGTTGCTCATACATATTCTTTGACATTTGACCTCAAAAAAAACCCTGTCTGTATTTGTTGACCATCTTGCTTACCTAGAAGTCTTATTTCAGTTGAGGTTGGATGCAGATTAAACCATCTTCCACAAGCAGAAAAAAGCTGCAAAGTCTACTCATTTAAAAAAAAAAAATGCATCTATCCAAATTGAGGGAAGGCCTTAAAAAGGAGAGAAGCATCGTCTGGTGGGTAATGTGACTCTGGATAACAAATGTGGTGAATCCTTTCTTTCCTTTATTGCCAGCTTGGGCGTAAACCGAGGTGTTCAACACTGTTTTTCAGAAGTGTTGAACACCTGCTGCGTCTGCTGAGGTTAGTGAGAACTGCAGCTGCTTGCCCCATGTTTTATATAGGGACGATTGTCTCCCCATCCGTGCCTCTGTGAAGCAGGGTGGTAACAGCCACCGCCGCAGCGAGTGGGCAGTGTAGCGATTAATGCTTGGGAAACCTCTTGTTCAATGAGAGATGAAGTAACTTTAAAAGCTTATGGGAGGTACAGATATTTTTTCATGGTGCAAACTGCAAAATGAGGCTTTATTGTCTAAGTGCTCTGCAAGGATATTAGTCTGAGCTGCTTCTTGTCAATAAAGTAAGACTGGACTTCTGTCCCAGTTGTACAGGAGGCTGACCATTATGGATTGAATGTTGCTGAAATGTATTTATCCATGTTAACGCAGCTGCAGCTTGCATTCTTCTCATCTGATATGATTTTTTACTTATTGCTATATGTCCGTTTCTCCTACCAAACTCACAGACTAATGAAAATGTACTCTACAATATTCATCGAAAAAAAAGTAGACCAGTCCTTAGATAGTTATACACAAAAATACATTTACCTAACATACTCAAAGATGACAGCGATTACCTGGACAACTTATTGTGAATTTAAAAGCTGAACCAGACCCATACAGAAGAAACGAATACGAACCAGACCAGCTGAACCAGACCCATACAAATAGAAACAATTTTCTATTCCATGTCTTTTTTTGTAAATGGAAAAATTTTTGCTCCTTCTAAGCATCCTTTCTTCTCCTCCATTCTGTAGTGAATTCTAGAAATATGAGCAGGGAACCTTTCATTTTAAAGGAGATCAAGATTGAGACGTTAGCCTTTGTATTGCAGAATAAATTACTGAAATGAAAATCAAAACTATCAGTCAAGCAGAAAATGCCTTATCATTTTTTAAGTGTCTGTTCGTATTTCATTGGTGTTAGCTCATATCTCACTACTCTGATGTTTTGGCATTACTGACAGACAAAGAGGGAATTCCCCAAATTTGTGGGAGTTGGAATAAAATAAAGATTGAGAACATACTTTATTTATTTTTATTTTATGGATTTAATTTCTAGGAACATGCCACCTGAAATACTTGACTTTCTTAGCTTTTTAGTGAGTGAGCATCAAACAGCCATAGGGTGTAGAAAAATAAATCAGCCTGTAGCCATGCCTTCCTCTGTATGGCACTTTTTAAGGCCCTGTTGTAAAACAACTGTGAACTGTTCTACCATTTCCAGTAATTTTTGTCTGTTACAATTGTCCCTGCTTTGCGAGATCATTTCCTAACTGAGGATTCCCGTGCTCGCAGGTGGAAACATAGTGCTATCCAAAACTAACTAATCCCAGTCAGCTAAATACCAGGAGACTCTGTTGACTTATGTGGGATCACACAGGGATCGTGGAGAGAGACGTGACACAGTGTCCCGATATGGCCAAAACTGGGACACAATTCCTGTGGGTCTATATTGGGAACCTGGAAGCCATGGGTAAAAATGGGAGTTTATTTCTCAAAAATGAACCTTTGGCTGCCTCTATACCAGGAGAGCAAATGGCCACAGCCCCTTGTTTGGCTCTGAAGACATGTGTTGCAGCAAAGCTTGCTTTCATATGGGTAAACCCTTTGCTCACCCCTGTGCCCTCTGGGGCACCCCCTGAACCACAGTCAGGCAACGTTTGGGACATAAATAGGTGGGTTTGAGCTAAAACAGCACCAGGGAGCACGATGGTAATAAAACAGGATGCACAACTGGAAGACAGTTTTCAAGTATGAGCATTAGCCCCTTATTATTCACAGAAAAATCTGAAATTTTTCTTGCCCATGGAACAGTTCATAAGCCTGTAAGCTTATAAGATCCAGTGATCTTTCATTCAACAAGAGCAGTTGTCCGCATACTCTAATATCCTGCCTTGGTCGCTCTAAACATTCACCTACAAGATACAAGAAAAGATGTAGCTATCGCTATAATAATTTACATTATTCTTCCCTGCCTAATCTCATCCCAGTCCCTCTGTATAGAAATACAGAGATGAAATCTGTGTTCACCTGTCACTTACAGCAATGGCACCTTGGACAAACACAAAACCTTTTCCCCTTTGGTGTCTGAGCAACATTTTCTGTGATTTACCCATAGATCAAAGGTATAAATTAACTGGCAATATACGTTGTTTATACTCAGCAAATAAGTAACTTGTTGAAATTTTTGCTTCCAAATTTGACTGCATGTAATTAACATTGCATTCCAAAATCAAAACTGGTGAGCAGAACAGTTTATATATACATATATATGCTCAATATGAGTATTTTTATATGTATACATATATACACACACACATATATTTGCAAGCTCCTTTTTCTTGGCACACCCTGAGAGAAGTTCCTCCTCTTCCACATCCTCCTCCTGATTTTTGTCCATTTGTAGACTTTTAATTGTTATGTTTACCAAAAAAGGGAAATGCATAGCATAAGAGCTGGGGGCGTGTCAAATGGAAAAGGCTCTATAAACACAAATACTGGGAGGAAAAGAGAAAAAGAGTGGGAGAAAGATTTTAACTGGGACAAAAACAAGTCCTCTGTTTACGCTGAATTAGACCTTGCGTCTAACTTGTAGCCTTGTGCCCATTGTCTTGGTGCTCTGTGAAACTAATTCAGTTCACTGCAGTCACAGAAAATGCCTGTCGTTCCACTGGTCCCAATTCGAATATGTAGATTTGTGATTCTTAGGGCGGTTTCAGCTCATTTTCATTAAAGAAGGAGTAAAGGAGAATATGATCAAGTAACCGTAAAACCCAAAGCAATCCTGTTTGTGGTGAGCTGTGCCCCACATTTCTGAGTGGGGTAGATGTCATCACATCAAACTGTCTCAGCCCGGGCTGAAATGCTAAAATCCTTCACCTTTTGTTTTTTTTTCTAGTTCATCTCAGCATAAAACCAGTAAGTCTCCCACAAGCTGCTTCCCAATGTTTTGATCCCAAACTCATAAAAATTCACCAAAGCCTTCCTAATGACTACAGTGAGTATTGGACTGGGGGTTTTTTGAGTGGTTGTAGTAAGGATTTTACAATCAGAAAGAAAGAAATGGCATATTCCAGAAAGCCCCAGCTTGCTTCAGCTGAGTGCTATTCGGAGGCACGCCCCCCTTTTTTCAGAGTGGATTATGGTGCACGCAGAGATTGTAACGTAGAAGCAATCTCTAAAATAAATCCTACTTTCCTTTTTCCTCCAGGTTGGCACTCTTTCTCGCCTTCTCATTATATAAGATATTTTGCTTCCATTACCAGCTGATACAAAGCCATGGCTGGCAGCCGAGCTGCTCAGTAGAGCTGCGGAGCTCGGTAGTTTTGGACAGTTTTCCTGGCACTCCTCATGACTTGCTGTGTGATTTTGGGAAAGTTACTCCTTGCCTCTGCTTATCCATTTCCCCAGAGTAACAGAGATCGTTAATCATCACTGTAAGCTGTTCTGAAGCCTAGAGATGGAAAGTGCTCATTATCAATGCTATTAATTTATAGGATATACATTTTCACTTGAACTGCCTAACATGCAACTTCACTGTTATGCTGAATCAAGGCTGGAAAAGGGTTGTTTTGCACAAGAATGAATTCCTAGAGGTAGAAAATTTTATAGCAGTAGCTTCTACTCTTCTCTTACATGTCTAATGTGTATATTACTTTGAATTAAATTTCCATGTAAAACATTTGTCTGAGCCCAAAGTTTATACACTGTTTAGCTTGTTTCCTAGGCTTTTTTTTTTCTAATACATCTGACTACTTCTTTTGTTTTAAATGGGACTTTGACTTTTTTTACAATTACAGATTTCCTTTTTGATTTCTCAGTCATGATTTAAAATAGCAAATGAATCTACAGACTGCAGGGAATGCATTTCTGTTCTTTCCTCCTTTCTCCTGTTGAAAACCGAAGCGATCCAGAGAGAAGTTGCAATGTCACGAGAAGAGAAATCCATAGAGCCATAATGCACACCAATCTGAACAAACCATCTTTGACTTTCACAATTAAGATGCAGATAATGAGAGACTACTTCAGCAGCATTCAGCATGGATCAAATCGGCAATGCTGTGGTGCCATCGCCCTCAGTTACACAGAAATCGGGGCTCGATGGCTGAAATTCAGGGTTTGTGTTAGCGGTCATGATCTTTAAATTCCATGTCTGTAAATTGTTTTGTAAAATGGCCAATTTTCTTTTTCCTCTCCCACCACTTATCCCCCCAGTGCAACATTACATGTAGATGCACAGCCTTAATTGGCTTAGTTGCAAGAAGATAATCTTTTTTCCCCCCTTTCTCACTGTTGCCTGTTAGCTTAAAGGCTTTTTAGCTGAAGGTTGATAATTATCACTGAGAAGAAACTAGCACATCAGGAGTTCATTTTCCATCTTAGCACTTGTAGCGCTCCTTTGAACTCCTCTCGCCAAACTCGCGTTCCCACTCTGTCACTTTCTTCCCTCCATCATAAAAAGCTCTCGGCAGCCGGCGGCTCCAGCCTTTGCTGGCGGGCGGAAGGCGTTGCGTCTCCCATGCTCTCCTCCAGCATGGAGAAATTGCACGAGACGTTGGTAGACATGGAAGACGCTTTGGGTTCAGAGCACTCTGACTGCTTATCGTCCTGGGACTGGAAAAGCACTGCCGGGTCTTTCGAGCTGAACCCTGTCTCATCTCCACACAGTTTGTCCCCGACACCCTCCTTCGAATCCTACTCCTCGTCCCCCTGCCCAGCAGCAGCGGAGACCCCCTACGGCAGCGGTGGCAGAGGACGCTGGCTGATGCACTCCACACGCTGCGCAACTACCTGCCCCCCGTCTACAGCCAGCGGGGACAGCCACTCACCAAAATACAAACCCTGAAGTACACCATCAAGTACATCAGCGAACTGACGGAGCTCCTCAACAGCGTCAAGCGGGCGTAGAACCCACCCGGAGCACCCGCCCCAGTGCGCTCAGGGTCTTTACAACCAAAAAACCAGCAAAATTTCTTCCTCGCCAGAGTACGGCGGCACGGGGTGCGAAAGGAGGATGGAGCAAAGGAAGGAGAGTAAGGGCTGCCGTTGTACGTAGGACACGATGCTGGAAGGTGATGTTGGATTGCCTAAAATCCTGAGCTGCAGGTTGCTGAGACAGAAGTCTCATTTTTTGCTTTAAATCTTTTTTTTTTTTTAATAATAAGCTTCTGAGAAATATTAAACCTAGCCTGATACAAAAATTAGGAAAAAAAAAAAGCCAACGGATCTTCCTAGGATTTACATATCACTGTGCTGACTGATGTTCTGTTTAATAAGGACAATAGTAAATCCATAGGTTTTAAACTTAATTTTAAAAAAGTAAATGACAACAACGCTATAGGAATACTAAGTGTATTGATTTGTAGGCACTTTATATATTAGGATGAGGAAGAACACCTATTGTTAGTTCAAGTATTGTCTATTTATCCATGTTTTCACTGTACCTAAAAATCAAGAAACTAATAGCGAAAACATCTTTGCTCCTAAACAAATAAATATCAGTGTTACAGTCTGTATCTTGTATTATATATATCTGATTAATAGATAAGTAAAATCTAGCAATGACTGCTAAATATCAGAAATTAAATATAAGCAAACTGATATTTTGTGTCAATAAATTCCTGTTAAATCCTGTGGTTTTAATTAATATATACGGAATCATATAATATTTCTCTATTTTATGTATACAAACCCCTTGCTTCAATACCTGGTAAATTATGAAAGACATTTTTACACCAAATTGCTAGAACAAATAAGATTAGGCTGAGTCACTTTCCTTCTCTCTGACATAAAATAAATTGATTCAGGTATCAGAAAGATGCAAAATTTCATCCTCAAGGTGTACTGAAACCTAGAAGTGCTCTAGTAACCGTAACATCTCCTTATTAAAAACTGTCGGATTAGCTGTTTCCTACAGCTAGTAACAGTCCTGTAAACCACACACATGAAACCCTCCAAAAACCAAACAAATGAGGACATAGTCTTAATCCTTAATTACTTTGACTTTCATCTGACAGGTATCACACAGGTCTCATCACACCACCAACAAATACAGCTTGCTTTGTGAATCTCAGCGCAGGCTGATGCGTAAGACTTGACTGTGCTGGGGCCAGAAACACACAGAGAGGAGCAAAACCCAGGGCTGAGTTGTGTGGAGCTGATTAAGTGAGATGACCCTTTTCCCTGTGGGGAGATGTACGGCACAGAGGGAGCAGCAGCCAGGAGTTAACACAGGCTTGTCTCACCAGGATGGATAGAGCAGCATGTCTGTGTGGGGCAGACGGCTTGGGTTTGTGGATACATCCTGTAGCAAAGCACCACAAAGCTAAAACTTTATTGCATCCTTCTCTTTTTGTCTTTCTCTCTTTCTGTTTGTTTGGAAGGAAATACAATTGTCTTTGTACGGTTTTATTCCTCCAAGGCTCAGCCTAAGCTGACTCAGTGCCCTTCTCGCATCTTACGTGCATATTGGAGCAATCAGTATGAAATCCATCAGTGTCTCAAAAGAGCAGCTACATTCAAATTTATTCAGGTAGCACTGTCACTCAAGATGTAATCACATTTAAGTGTATCCCATATGCTTCTGTTTTGTTTTAAACCTTGATAGATTTCTCTGAAGCTTTAAGGTTTCAGCAAGAATGTAAGTAGAATCATTTTTTAAAACCCTATAAAATTGTCAAACTAGAGAAAGTTTTATTCATGTATGAGATGGCCCCACTAATGTCAGCATAGCATTCCTCAGTATAAGCCTGTGCAGCTGATCCAGGTTTGAGCAGATAAAGAGCCACATTGGCCAGGTCAGTTTGGACTGTGTTTTGCAAGGCAGGGAAATTGCCCATTGCCCACGGGATCATTCACAGAGCCATAACTGAGAGCTTGATCCCATGTCCTTGCTCAAAGACTCTCATTGTCACTGACAGCTCTAAAGGTCTACCTGCTCACTAGCACTGGCAAACCACCAACAGATGCGCAGGAAGATAGCCCTGTCCTTCTACGTCATGTTAGTTAGAGACTGTCATCATGCACAAGTATAGTGGTTAGGTATATTTTCTATATTTGGGAGGATATTTAACCTAGTTCCTTTAAGTCTTCCCCAGCTGAAACTACAGGTAATGACTACAATTCTCATCTCTTTAGCTAGGGAAGCCTATAGGTTCATGGTTAGCATAGAGGAATAGGGAGTTAGAAGGATCCACTTCTATTGCTAGTTTGTCTCTGACCTTGGCTGGTCTTCCAGCATTGCTGCCTCAGTTTAGCCACCTACAAATGAAGACTCTGATAGCTAATGGCTTCAGAAGGCTGCTGCTTATCAACAAAGCTAAGTAATACTGTATGCAGGAGGAGTGTGCCAGCAGCAAGTACCCTGCAGATTTAAGAAGTGGCTCAGGGTCAGTATTTCCCACCACCCCAAAGAAAGTGCCAGGTGAAGGCCCTGAATGTGCTGGGCTATAGCTTCTCAGGTGGCTGTAGAGTTCCTCTGTTTCCCTGCAAGTCCAAGGTGAAGCAACAGCTCTGAGTAACCACAAAAGCAAGGCTTTGAGTTTCAGAAAGAGACTTCACTACTGCTATGCCAGTGAACTAGACCTTGCCTGTACCTACTCCCTAGCCCCAGAATTGCAGTAGCCACTGCCACACCGTTGAATACTTTGAGCTCCAGCACGATGTGGCTGCATCAAACCAGCCTTAGGGAAGGGTCTGCTATAAATCACTCCCTGTGCTGCCATAGAAGCAAAGCCCATATCCAGGGTGGGGTTAGTTTACTAGAATACATTGTACTCTTGCAGTGCTTAATTTGTTTGATCCCATTTCCACCTGTATGTGAGGGTGGAAAAAAGTGACCAAGGTACAGAAGGAGAAGGTAGGTTCAGTGCCTGCCTGTGACCTGGGATCTCATAGGACCTGCCAGGTTTGTTTCTCCCCTCTGAGAAATAAATGAATTCTTGCTCTGCTTGACATGGAGCATCTCTTTAAACAACTCCATTTGTAATTCTTCCCCTTGGAACAGACATTTCACTGATGCAGAGGAAATAGTGTGAATTATTATATTCTTGATAGTACAAGTCCTGTTGCTACTAAAAGTTGGATTTTATTAATTTTTCAATAAAATGGAATACAGTCAAAGTTCCTCCTCTTTTCTCTTTCCTTTACCCCCAGGAATTCAGGATATTTAATTGGTGTGAAAGAGATCAAGTTAAGGCCCCTACTTGAGGGAATGAGATCTAGCACCCAGGACTCTACGCAAGGTCCATAAAGCTATATTGAATTCCAATAACACCACCATAATAATCCATAGAGTAGATGGAAACTCAGTTTGAAGAAATTGCACAAAGTCACAGAATTAGAAGACATCTTTCATATACAATCATCTTCTCCTAGCACAGTATGTTAAAAATCTACATAGAAAGAAAGCTAAAGTAGCAGCCTAATCATCACTGGAAGTCCATGGCTGAGGAATTACATTACATTCTGCTTAATGAATAGAGTTATTTACCATGCTAAAGAGAAAGATACGGGAGAACAAACGAAGTTTAGTCCCAGACAATGAAATGAACTGTTCTGACCCCAAGATCCTCCTTTTCCAGATTAGCGTGTAATTGTGGAGAGCAGAACACAGGTACTAAAGAAGAAACAACCGGCACCAAAAAAACCAGTTTTCTACTGCATTCACAATTTTCTTATACAAGAAGTTAGTACATGAAAGCATACTTCGTGAGTGATACCAGTCATAATACTGCAAGGTCAGCAGAGAAGTGCTCAAATATACAAAACAGAGGAAGGATTAAGAATATCAGATCTTGTGTAAAAATTAATTGAAACATATTTTAGAATTTCAGGAAAAGCCTTGAGATACAGAAACGTGGCAATTCAGTTGAACTACTGGTCCTTCACTCTCAGTGTACTGACGAGGTGATTACACCATCCTGCTGCTCCCACACTCAGTTGCTGCACACTATGAGTAAATATTTTGCCTTCTAACAAGTGCTCCCGGACCATAAATAAGATAAAAAACAACAAAAAACCAACAAAACCAAAAAGCATATGCTCTACCTGTCCAAAGACAGTGAAGAGCAGTGCAGTGAGGCAGGTGAAAGGAAGGAGAAGAGATGCACAAGATGCACTAAAAGTGTAGCTGAGATAGCTGGACCCCACCAGCCGATTTCCTGAGCAGCTCTTCCTGCTTGCCTCCACTCTGGGTGAATTGCTGAAGGAGAACCAGCTATGATCACAGAGAGAGAGTCCTTAAAGTTTCGGGAGCCAGGGAAAAAGGACTTTTTCCCCCCATAGTCATCCTAACCCTTTTATTAGGGAAGAATAAGGCAGGGCAGAGCAGGCAGTTACATATAATGGATTTTATATAGGTAAACTCCTTTGGTGCCATCAGCCAGGCAGTTGGTGCTAGTGGAGGGAGTTATTGCTGCTGTTAAGAGTACGAGAATAGGCTCTGAGTTTCTTCTCCTCCCTCAGAGATCAGAGGCTGTTCTGGTGCAGCTGGAATTATATGATGCTGCTTTATTTAGCAAAAGGCATACTGATGGAAAGGAGGAATCCTACTAGGTATGATATTAGCCCAGGATTCAGGAGACTCCTAGCTCTGCTCTCCAGGGCAGGCTTTCCACCTGAATTCAGCAGTGACAACTTCTCTGTGCACCCTATGCAGAGGGTGCAGCGGTGTTGCCTGCCAGCAGCAGTAATACCTAAAGAAACACCCTGAAGATGCCAAGAAGGTCAAGTTCCTTCTTGATGGGGAGAGTAGGTACCCCAGAGAGAATATTCCCCAGTAGTTAAAGGATCACATGTGAAAGAAGCTCCCCAGGCAAGCCCTGGCTCTGTGAGCAGCAGAGCCCCCCTGACCCCCACCCCCAAAGCAGAGGGGAGCCCAGGGCCACCCGCCTCCACACACACAGCGC